GGGCAGGGAGACAGAACCAAATATGTGGCTGCTGCCACTATCCCCGCTGAGCCCAGCTCCCCATGCAGCCCAGCTGCAGCAAGGCAAAAGTAGCTCTGGAGGTCTCACCAGCCCCTGGATCAGCTGGGGCCAGTAGTAGCAGCAGGAAGGGAAGAGGGAGGAGCTGCTGAGCACCTGGTTTCCTTATTCTGTTGCTTCAATTGGAGTGTTGGTTAGAATCCAGTTACCTAGAAATGTCTGGTTTTGCTCAGATACTTTCCAAGCACATAATTATTTTGAATAGTCTATAATAATTGTGTAAAGTGAGAACTGTTTCTCAGGAAGAGGGGCTGTTTGTTTGGGTGGCATGAGAAGCAAAAGCCCTGACCCTTTGTTGCTTATTAAAGAACACAGAGCATTTTATGCAAATACCTACCAAATCCTACCTACCAAAATGACCCATCTTTCCATTGTGTAGACTGGTGGTGGTCTTTTTTGGCAGGTGAACCACTAATTAGCCCCGTACCTTCTCTGTGTGCCACTCTGATCCCCTTCCCTCACTTGCTATGCTTCCCTTTCTGCTCCCTGCTCCCTACCCAGTTTGCTGGTTCATGTTCTGTTTTCTGTCTGATCTGCTGCTGTATTGCCTGTCCCCTCCCTGATCTGCCATGCAACTCGCCCAGAGGGTGCCTGTGCCACTTGGCGCACATGCTGCAGGTTGCCCACCCCTGGTGTAGACCATTTCTTCAGGCGCTTTCCTGCAACCGTTCAGTCTTGCTGGCTTCACATCAAGAGTGATGACGTTTCCCTCTTGGGTGGGTTACTGCTGTTTGTACAGCGCAAGCTTTCAGAATGAGAAGGCAACATATAAATATCAGCACAAATATAAGTAGTAGCAGGTGAGGGAGGGGATGGTCCCTACCACTCTTGGAAAGAGTGTACTGATCTTAATGTATTCTTTCAGATTATTCAGTGACGTTCTACTAACAAATTCTGAAAAGCCACAGTTCAAGGTAAAATTGACTGACATCAGCATGTCCTGGATCATTGCTAAGAGCATGTTTAGCTGGCTAGCCTTGGGTCCAGCCAGCCAAAAGGGGCAGGGCTGAGCAGGGATTAGCAAATGTGAGGTGTGGGAGTGGGTGCTTGGCTACGTTCGGTTCTGAGGCAGCACTGTGCAAGAGAGTATGCTCGCAGGGGGCCTCCAGTGCAGTCCCACAGAACTGTCTTGTCAGGGTTCCTGGGAAGGAGATGGCAGTTGCTGCTCCTTTCCAGGGAGGGTGGAACAAACAAAGCAGAGGCTTTTGTGGGGAAGGAGGGAAGCGCAGAACAGGGCTATGCTGAGGCTACACAGCACTGAGTTCAGCAGTTATTCTGTGCTGACTTGGCCAAGGTGCTTGTAAACACCAGACAAGAATTGTGTAGCCTCATTTTTCTTCGTAAGCATTTCCACCTGGCTCAGTATATGCTGTCACACTTCAGAGCCTGACTGCCAAATTACTTGAGTGCTTTTGCATGCAGTTCTTGCTGGGTAAGTGTTCTTGCTAACAGTGACTGAAACCCACCTGTGAGAATTGGTAGAACCACTCTGTCGCCTATCCACCACTCCACAATCCAGTCAGCAGCTATTAGACTGCACACTTGAGTACCTCACGCATTGTCCATAATGTTCTGTCCTCATTGTTGGACTTCAGCTATATCTGGAGGGAAGGCTGCTTGCAGTAATTCCATGTTTTCTACTAATATTAGAGCCTGGGGCCTCATCACAGATCAATACATTCTTCAGATTAAAAGTGGGTATCCAATAGTGAAAGCTCTAGATTAAATTTTGGTTTATATATTCCCTACCATGATTTTTTTTTTATGTCTCTCATTTATCAGATTCCCACTAAGTTAAGAGAGGCATTGAAAATTGCCAAGGAATGCATAGAAAAGAGACTAACTGAAGAACAGAAATTGGTAATTTTTCTGTGTGTTGTCTGGTTCTTATATCATTGTTTTCTCCTCTGATTATTTCAACAACAAAAAAAAGTTTTTAAAATTAAAAAAAAATTGTAAACAAATGTTTACAACACTGGAAGAAACTTTGGAAATACAGCCCTCTTATTTTCTTTATGACTTGTTCTTATTGACAAATGCTTGTTCTTGACAAATGCACTAGTTGCAATCAATAGTCTATAACATATTGGTTACATAAATTATGGCTTAGTAGACATCAAGAGGCTGTTGAAATGACTGGGTGAGTCTAAGTCATAAAGTCTGGATGCAAAGCCTTGGTCCTTTTAAAACCTGGGTTTTTTTCCACAGTCCATTTTAGGGAATGCCCCCCCCCCCCCTTTCAGACTTGGAACAAAAGTTTCCCCAATTTCAGTAAAGCTGGTGTCTTTGTGCTTGTTTCAAGCCCCCTCTAGCTGAAAAAATGTCAGTAGTGCAAGCCCTCTGGACACTTATTTTTGGGAGGCTAAACTTTCAAATCCCTAGGAAGAACAATAGTGGTATTAAAATGTATTTAGTTGCAGGAGACTTGACTTTCCGATCCCACCCACTTCAGAATATATCCAGTAATCTTTTGATGTTACAGCTGTTGTATGTGTGAAGTGCTCATTGTCTTTAGTAGTGGCTCCAAAGACATTGTGGCTCCAGTCAAGCTCTGAGACATTATAAATCTAACTTCATTGCAGGGACAAGGGCTGATGGTATCTCTAAACCGTTCATGGAGAAATTTTGAGTATTTAAACAAACATTGAGAACTTTCTCTAAGCTTAAGGGAATGTCTCTGAGATCAAAAGTAAAGATTTTGACTTGATATAGCTTGTCTTTGGTCTCTCCCCTTGAAGATTCACCAGCACCGAAGACTGACACGGGCTCAGTCTCACCATGGTTCTGAAGAAGAAAAAAAGAGGCGGAAGATCTTGGCACGAAAGGTTAGTGGCATCTTTCAGAACAAGTTTCTTGCATGCAGAAGTGTGCGCACATTCTGGAGAAAGAGGGTGCTCTGCATGCGAAGGTCATGAGAGAAGTGTTGCAGGAACTTGTGCACACGCATGCATGCACATGCGTACAGCCCCAGGACATGCTGGCCATTCTCAGAGTACTTTAATTTGTGCAGTCAGGTGATGTGCTGCAAAACAACATTTAAGTGTTGATAATTAGTTTAACCTTGAGTGAGCCAAATAAACCTCTCTGAGAATTGGCTGTATGAATTCATAGAGTTCACAGAACAGCCTGCTTGGATGCACTTTTATTAAGGTGGGCATCATGAACTTGGCAGCTCCTGTCTTCACCCAGACAGAAACTAGTTCCCAGCCCTCACTCTGGCAGATGATATGGCCATAAAGTTACTCTAAGTGGGCTGCTGGGGATATCCTCCCAAAATGGGATTCCTTGCCTGATGTCAAGTTGGTGTAAGGCTTGTGATGTTAGGGAATACTTTATGGAAGGGGTGGGAGTAAAACATAGGTGGTCCTTGAGTAACAGTGGTGGAGAATGATTTCTTGTCTTTTCCTTTTTCTTCTTGATTCAAGAAGTCAAAACGCTCAACCTTTGAAAGCGGGGAAGAACATTCAGCAAAATACAGCAACTCAAATAATTCAGGTAACTGCAGAGAAAACCAGTTTTACCACACTTACTTCAAAGTCTTGATCTTCTTTCTGAACTAGATCATTTGCTGGTTAGGTCCAGAATCTCAGTGAATTTTATACCTTAGAGTAAGATTGGAGTATGAAAAAGCTGATCCTTGTCTTCATTATTTGTAAAGATCAAATGATGCACTAAAAAATGTAGTCACTAGTTAGGTTTTCACTTAAGTAACTATCTCAGAGTGGTGTTTGACCCTCTGGAAGGATCTCTTTATAATAGCACCCATTCAACCATTTTGAAACTTCATCCCCATGGCAGTTTGTATTCTTCAGTAAGAAGTTACACAGACAAATTGATGACCTGCTGAAAAGTTAACCACATTGCTGTTCAGTTCTGCAGATGACTGTTTGTGGGGAAGTTTCACCTTACTGAACAATGTAGTTGTTCAGGCTGTGTTTCTTTTTTTCCCCTTGCAAGGCAGTTAGTTAAGTGTCTGTATCAAATGCTTTCAGAATGCAGCCTGTCAGGAAACAGTTAGTTGTCAACATAAATTGTGATGCTGATGCAAATGAACTGCAAATTTCTCTCCTAGGAGAGATGTAATCAGAGCTGCAGTTAGGGAGCGCACGTGTCTCAAGGACTGCAGAATTTGGGCCCAGAAACTCCTCAGCCTGACCACTTCTGCAAAGAACTGGTCCTTGCTGGGGAGTTCTGCCCAGAGTGCTTCATTTTTGCAGGGCTTGTCCCGCTGTGGGGTTTTGCCCTGCAAAGTGTTTCTGCTCAGAGAGGGTCTGATTCTGCTACCATTCATGCCTTGCTGTCTGAGTCAGTAAAAGGCTGTTTTCAAAGACCTGCTGTATGTTGAGTAACCAGAAGTGAAGCTAGAGTCGCTTTGTTGTTGTCTTGTTCAGCAGGCTCTGGGGCGAGTTCCCCGTTAACATCTCCGTCATCTCCCACTCCGCCCTCGACGGCAGGTAAGTCACAGCTATGGAAGTGCCTGTCTGTCTCTTGTTCCATTTTGTCCCTATGGTAGCTGTTCTTCAGGGAAGGGAAAGGAGGACACTGTTGGGGGGCAAGAGGCAGCCCTAATACAATATTCACCTGACATTCTTCACCTTGTAGCAACAGAAGTGCAGGCAGCTGGCTTCTTTTGAGCATCATAGCCTTGTGATATACAAGACTTCTTGTTTTAACAGGTTTCCCTATAATACTCCTGCATATAATCCACTCACACAGTATAAATTCTTGCTTCAGTCTGTTTTGCCCTAATGCTTCCTGCACTGTTACATTCTGAATGTCCTCTGGGCTTTCCATTATGTCACAATAGGATTTGCTCTGTGATGTTCCATTCGCTGCATCCCCCAGCGCTGTTCTGTGGTTCAGCAGTCTCCTGTGCTGTCTTTGTATATCCAGGTTAATATTCAAATCTGCATTTATAGGGTCATTCAAGAGCAGTATTAATAGAGACTGCTAAAATGATGTGCTGCCAGGAGGAAAAGCGTTCAGAGAAAATTAGGCTATAGTGACTAGTTCACCTGATTTCAGGAATGAGTACCCTGCTATTTAGAAGATATTTAAAAGCCCTCTGTCTAAGATCCATGAAATGGTAGGGTAAGTGGTCTGGTCTGGTGGTGGTTTTTAGTTAGCTGGTCATTCTTAATGACCTTCTACATCATGCAGCAATATATGGAATAACTAGTATGGTTTCACTCAAGCTCAGGATATGTTAATAATGATTGAACTCTTCTCTCCTGTAAGAGAAGCCTCCTGTTCCATTGATAGCAACCCATAAGCTCTCAGTCTTGGTGCTGTCAGGTGGCTACACTGCCTGTCTCAGGGCTGTGCCATGGCTTGCTGGTGCTCCCTAGTGTGGTCCAGAGGCAGTACAGATGTGGCCTGAGACTTGTGCAGTCTGCAAGAACATTTCATCCCATGTTCAGAGAACGTCTGTTGCCTGATGCGACTCATCCTGTTGATGCTGCGTCACGCCTGTCTGCTCAATAGCGGGCTAGTCTGCTGTGTGATCCATGCACGTGCTTCTGACAAAGTATTGTGACATGTGGTTGGTAACGCTGTGTTGCTGTGTGTGAAGGCTACTGAGTATTGCCACCATTTAAAAATGTATTCTGTTGGGACTTATTGCATCTGAGAAGCCATTAACTCATCTGATCTTGCATGAATAGGGGTGATTGTGTAGTAGTACCACTTCCAGTGGTAGCTAGAAAGGGAAGCCTGGGGTTGTTTCTTATTGATAACTTCTGCTTTCTGCTTCAGTGTGTCATCTGCATTCTTGTAATGGTTCTACCTAGCTGAGGTGCCTGGTGGAGGGTATGAAGTCCGTTCAACTCTAGGCTTCTTATCAGGATCCCGTTTGTCTATGTTGGGCAGTGTAGTCTCAAGGCAATGCCTCATGTTGTGGTGATGGGATACATCTACACCACAGTGCGGGGAGGGCATCTGACAGTAGTATCATCCCCTGCCCTGCCCCCACCATTGCCATGTCCCTTGCTTGCACAGTGGAATTGCTCAGCACATTAAGTTAGATTTCTACAATTAAATGAAATTAAATTACAATTAAATTCTGCAGCTAAATTTGGTTCAAGAACTAAGGGCTTTTGGAACCTTTTGTAATTGGATAAAAACCCACCCCTAGGTATTTTCTTTCAGTTGACAGTAGTTAGTCAATACAGTTCTGTTTCAGTTTCAAGGCTCAGGCTGAATAGGTAAGTTTAAGACATGACTCAGAGCTGGAATGCTGCATTAGAACTTTTGGGAGGAAGACCATGACATTCAGGATTGAGCTTGGAGAAGTAGCTGATTGGAGCTGTGGGTGATCATAGTTAGCATTTTAGTGGTGCCCTGCTGTGAGCAATTAAACTGCATTAGCACATCAGAGCCTTGTCTCAAGACTGCCTCCTCCTATGCACTTCTAGTTGATTATTTAGTGGACTGGGAACATCTGCTGTTAGAATGGTCTGATCTAAAAGAGAAGAAACATACAGTGATGCTCTATTGGATTGTAGATTGTGAGGGCCTGACCTTGTGGCATAGCAAAGGATAAAAAAAAAAGAATCCAGCCCCAGATAGGGAAAGTCAGGCTATCTGTTTCCTGGTTTTAATAGTGCCAGAGCTAAGGACACCAGCAAACAGTGACGAGTATTGCAAACAAATGTTTTGGTTCTTTTTAAATGGCTTCAGTCTGGCTATATTCATGGCCCTCTTGTGTTTGCTTTTGAGTGCTTTTTGTGTGGAAAGCCCATATCAAAGATGTATGCATGAGTATTTGTAAAAACTGCTGCCTGTCCATGTGTTTTTTGGGAAGCTTGGGTGCTCACCTGCTCGGGGAGCAGGAGCCATACCATGCCACTGATATAAGCAGTATAACATGAGTCTCCTGCTTGTGATTGTTCCAGCAGTGCATACAAGGAAATTACAGCTGGTTAACTAGCATTCTGCCAACAGGGGAAGTCTAACTTTTTTTGCAAATTACTTACTGCTTTACTACCAAATAGAAAGAAATCTTTCTGGGATCCTTTTGTTTAAATTTAGATGGTGGCAAATGCTGATTGTTATACAGCTTCCTGTGGGTCAGAGCTCTGTCTGAGGATTTAAGTCACTTCCTGTTGCATGTTCAATCTTTAAACAATATTAATTCTGCAGTCACTTTACAAATCCATTCATTTTTTGTGTGTGGTCAGGAACTGTAATTGGTGCCAGATAGGCTGGAAGACATGATAAAAAGGAATGTCAGAATCTTCATTCCCTCCCTGCTGGTCCTGGCAAGCATTTATTAATAAGCACGCTCTTCTGTGAAAGCACTAAGGGCTGAAAGATGATGACTCTGCTTGGTCCATCCTCCCCATCTAAAGTTATGAGTTCAACAGGTTATTTTGTGATAACTTGTGAGAATGGAGCGGAGGGATTGGATTTGCCCACAAAGGAGGTTTCTGTAAGCCAACTGGCATGTATGAACAAAACATTTTCCTTCTGAAAGTTCACCCGCACAATGCAAGTGCTTCAGTATGAAAAGTAAATAAATGTAGACATGAATTGCATGAGAATTGTTACACTCTGTCAAATGAATGGATTTTGTGTTCTATGGTTATTCTTCAGAGTCATTCAGCACTAAAGTTGTACAAGGAAAATGTACCTTCACTAACTGAAAGTGCTTTGAAGACCCACAAAGCTTGACATCTGGCACTTGAAAATGAATGCACTTGTGTCTTGCTTTTAGAAGCATATGTTTAACCAGTACATAAGATTATCAGTGTGGAAGAATGTGGTTCATTGTATTATGTCCACAGTAACTTGACTGACTTTGTTTGCCTTTTATGCAAAGAGCTCAAACCCAATACATTCTTGTTCAGAGAAAAATGTTTATGGGAGTAGTAAAACGACTAACCATTATGTAACCTAGATAACTGCACAGCTAGCAGTGTCTGTTTTTAATTACTGTGTGACTAAATGATACTACAGTCAGAATAATAATTTGTCCTCTCTCTCTCTCTCTGCTGTCTTCAATAGAGCATGCATCATTTTGAACGCGAATTTCAGAAAAGTAAGCTAACATTGATTTTTCTCTTTAAAGATGCTCTGTTTCTGTCTGGGAAATCAAAGACAGCCTTGAACTTCTGCTATAAGTGAATGAAAGAGCAGTAGATTTTAAGCTACTTTGAGTTGTTTTCATGAAATACGGCATCTTTAAAAATATCACTATGTGATTTTTTTTTTCCTTGTTTGCATCTCACTAAGCAAACTTCAGTGCAGTTTTCACAGTTCCTGTCACTATATCCATTATTAAGATTTTGTTTCAATTTGGGCATCAACTTCTACAACACCTGACAAACTTTTTGTTCCTTTAACACCCTCATAACAAAAACAACCTTGTAAAACCTTGGTAAGTTTCTGTTTGAGTGTTTATTCCTGTGACTTTGTGAATGAACAGATATTTGGCTGTGAGCAGCTTCCAATGTGTGTGTAGAGGTAACAGGGAACCACAAATCAGACTCTTGCATTAAATCACTCTTTTTTTTTTTTCTCTCCCCCAACTCTCCAAAGATTAGGAAGGATTTTCCTTGTTGGACAAATGGAAGAAAAATAGTAGCTGCCCCTGCTGTGAGATTATATCTAAATGAGCAAGGGGTTCCTTTTAAAGCATGAGTCTGTGAAGCGGAGGGAGGACAGGCTGGTGGTCCCTGTTTTTGATGAGCTAATTGAAATGAAACAGCTGTCGCAAACCTTTGTGTACGTGGGCAAGTGCAGCATTTACTACTCATAGGCTATCTTCTGGTGTGGCTTCAACAATTTCAACTGCTGCGTCTGTGTGTGAAGGCTAAGTTGTGATTGAAGGTTTTGGAACAATTGCTGAAGCTGGTAAGGTGCCTCCACAATGGAGAAACTCAACTTCCCCATGTTTCGAGCAGTGTTGCTAGCTGTTTTATTTCCATGTATTATTTACATATTACCTAACTATAAAGGACTTAAAAAATGTCATCTCCCCCAGAACTCTTCCAAGAAAAGAAACCAGGCAAGACACCAAAGGCAATGGTGCCTTGGCCTAATTGTATATAGGGATCCATCATCATGTGAATGGTGGGGGCTTTTTGCCTTTTCCCGTCAAGTGTGTCCTTTTCTCGGTCCCTGTGCTACTGCTCTAATTGAGCCCTGTACAGAATTCAAGCCACTGTTTATTTTTTGTGACGCTCATACGATGCAGTCTACAACTGAATTCTTTTTTAGCCTCTTTAGTCCTGCCACCTCAGTCCTAGTTCTGCTTTCTGTATCTTTTTTCCAGCTATCCCTTTCCTTACCAGATGCTCCCAACTCTTTCATAGCATGCTGTATTAATACCTAGCAGCTCTGTTCACAAGTTAAGCAGTGAGGATGTGGGACAATGCTTCCCTTGTTGTGCTCTGCTGTGACTTCAGTCATAGTGCAATCTCGTTCTACTCAAGTCGTTCTTTCTTCTGTCGTA